GGGGGGGGGGTTAGCCTCCTGAACTACGAAAAAAGAAATTTTTCTTCTTTAAAGGCACCCACTTGTGGTATTTCTGTTACAGCAGCACTAGGAAATTAAGACACTTATGAAATGACTTATGGATGTCTGGACAGGAGCACAGAGTAGCAGCCATCACAGGATCTGGGTCGCAGATCTGTGCCCTTAGGAAAGTCAGGTAAAATCTAAGCCTCCATCTCCAAATTTGGAAGATGAAGTGGCAGAACTAGGCAATATCATAGGTGTAAAATTCTAGAATTTCAGCTGATTCAGTCTTGGTTATTAGAAGTTTAAAGTTATTAGCCAGGCAAATCTGTTAGCCCAGTCTCCGTGAGTCTCTGCTTTCACTATTCAGCAAAAGCAATTCTCCTCTTCTTGTTGCCGATCAATGGCATGTAAGAGGGAGCTTAACTCTGGCTGAGTAGCTACCAAAAGAGCAGGACAAACACCTGCTTGATGCCTTGGTCTCTGCCTTTTGAGTTACACTGAGAGGGACTGTTCAGCATCCACTGGGTCACAACTCAACTCTTTTAGACCCTGTAAGAGATTCCACAGAAGCCAAGTAGGCGTAAATAAGTGCTTGGCTGGTAACTGAAAGGTCAGTGGTTTGAACTCACCCAGTGGCTCCTCTGGAGAAAGATCTGGCGATCCGCTTCCATAAAGATTACAGCCTAGAAAATCTTATGGGGCAGTTCTATCTTATATAGAGCCACTATGAGTTGAAATTGACTCAATGGCACACAACGACAATAATAAGAGACTCAAGGCCATAGTTCATGTTGTTGTTGTTGTTAGGTGCCGTCAAGTCAGTTCCGACTCATCACGACCCCTATGTACAACAGAATGAAACACTGCCCAGTCCTATGCCATCCTCACGTTCATTATTATGCTTAAGCCCGTTGTTGCAGCCACTGTATCGATCCATCATGTTGAGGATCTTCCTCTTTTTGCTGACCCTGTACTTTACCAAGCACGATGTCCTTCTCCAGGGATTGGTCCCTCCTGATAACATGTCCAAAG